TCCTGTCAGAGTTTCTTGCGCTGCTTCTTCTCAGCACTGGCCCATTCCTTGTCCCGAAGCAGTGGTAGAGTCAATACTCTGATACTTTTTAAAAGCCCACTTGAAAAAATCAAATGAGTTTTATTAAATTACCATTGTCTTCACTGGCCAAATTCCCACCTGTGGGGATAAGCCTGGTGGGGATGGGGACAACGGGAATAAACAGCCCTTAAGTACAAAGCGGGAGACAGGTTGATAGGAACTTGGACGGGAAGACATGTACCACAATTAGAACAATAAATGATTGTCAGTTCAGTCTGCAGAGTCTGCACGTATTTGATGTACCTACTTGAATTTCGTTAATCTTACCGTTAGATAATTCCTGGCAATTAGTGGTGACTGAGTTTGTTCCGGCGTTTCTTCTCAGCACTTGCCATATGACGTTTGTCTCGAAGCGCTGGTAGGGCCCAAAGATAAGGAGACATGTAATGTGCCCCTTATGGGCTACCTTTTCTTTTTTTATTATTTACTAGGTATATTTTGACGTTCATAAGTGCCACTTGTGGTCTAAACTGAATAAATATTTTTGATTTTGATTTTTTGATTTTGATTGATTTATTTATTAAGAAATAGTGCAACATACCTACACCTATTTATTGATCCCATGTCTATTATCTGTTACGTTCTAGGTTTACGACTAAAATGATGCAAGCGCATTTGCTATCGCCGCAGTCGGGCGTGCGTTGCGCGCGCGCACCATTTCATTTACAGCATTGGTTCCCAAACTTATTTGAGACGCGCCCCCTTTCGACCATACAAAAAATTCCTCCAGTCAAGATTATTTATTTGTCGTATTGAGCAGTCTGGAATGCATTCTCTCAGCGGTCGCAGGTTGTTTTTACTTAAGTACACAGATGGCCCGCCCCCTTTAAANCGAGGCCCAAGGGCACTACAACTCATCCGCTCATAGTCGGAAGACTGATTGCAGATGAAGCACAGAAGAAAAAAAAAAAAAATTTGAATATCCACTAACACACAGATCACTCATTTTGTTCAATTATCATATATAAAGTCAAAAATGTATTTTATTTTTTATGGTATTACTATTACAAATGGTCAAATATTTTCAGTATTAAACAAACTGAACTGAATTAGACCGACAACTTAACTTTCCTTCCTGAACGTATTTTGAATATATTATTATCCTGAATATATTTTGTCACCAGTCTTCACGAGTTTCTAAAAATGGTCATTAAAAGGATGATGGGCACTTTTCTATGGAATCTGGGCGTAAAACCAACAGAAATGTAACTACTATTATTTGTTAGGACTTAATATCAGAAATATATNTATTAACACTAGAGTACACGCGCGGACTACTATAGTAGACCAGGGTAACATTTTACGCTATGACTTTTTGAAAACTTGCGCCAGAGAGCTGGCATTCCAGGAAAGCCTCGTTTACTAAATTTGTCAGTAAGCCAGTAAAGCTTGGGTCGCTAGAGTCTGCGCACTTTTCTGAAATTGGCCGTCAAAACTACAGGTCTACTCTAAAGCCCGAAATCACTCGACAAAAAAATTATGAAAGACTTGTAACAAATGGATTTACACCGTGTACCAGGCAGTAGAAAGTCATGAATACTATGACAGATAAAAAACTAATCATATTTTTCCAGTCAAATTGTTTTTGTTGACATTGGTCTCAGAGTGCAATTTTGGTCCAAAAAATTTACAACTTTTAAATCTGTTTATAATGTTTGATCCCAAATAGTTATATAAAGAAATTTTGATTATAAAATAACTATAATAAACACTTTTATCATTTACATAGTAATTCTATTCGTAATTTGCTTATAAACTGATTTACAGTGATTTTAAATTGGCTTACCAGAGTAGGCCGCGCGTGTATTCGTGTAAAAAAAGGGGCGCGTGTACTGCAGTGTTAAAGGTCTGCTACTCCCCTGGGGGGCGCTTCCCCACTTTGGGAACCAATGATTTACAGGCAGACATTTAATATTACCTTATTTTAGGTGTAATCGATTCAGATTGATTAATTGATCAGTAAACAACTAAATTGTATAGTGACTAATGGATGATACCAAAGCCAGGTGTCACATAATGATTAATGAACGAATGAATCGATTGTATTATATCTGGCAACCTTGTGATAAATAATTATAAGTCAGATAAAGATAGCGATACTTTTTTGTGTGTTTTTGCCTAGTCATTATCATCGTAAACATCATTTCAGCCATAGGACGTCCACTGCTGAACATAGGCCTCCCCCAATGCTTTCCATGTTGATCGATGAAGTCACTAGGTATTTATAAATCTGCTGACGTTGATTTCGCAAAAGAATGCACTTGGGTAGGCGTAATACCACAAATACTGATAAGAAATGTAGGACTGCAATGTGCAACGGGGTTACTGTGAAAAACGTTCAGAAGTTTCGAATGTTGCCATCCCCCTCGCGCCGAATGCCGATATTTGATTGAAAAACTATCCCATGTCCTTTCCCGGACTCAAACTGTCTCTATGCCAAATTTTTCAATGGTTTAGGCGTGAAAGCGACACAGACCAACTTTCCCATTTATAATATTAGTAGGTATTGCTAATTTGCAAAGAATGCTATTTTGTTTATTGTTGAGTTAATGATGATAAAGCCTGAAGGTGGCCTGTGTAGCAACTTTAAACTGATTCATATTGTTATCACAATAGATAGAAAGCAGGTACTAGCTCAAAGATTAAGATCCTTATCAGTTGTTTTATACCTATGTAATTGTTGTTTGTTGGAATGGAGGCCACGTACCGGAAAACGCAGCGTGGGACGTCCAGCCACAAGGTGGACCGACGACCTGATAAAGGTAGCGGGAAGGCGCTGGATGCAGGCCGCTACCAACCGTGCGATGTGGAAGTCATTGGGGGAGGCCTATGTTCAGCAGTGGACGTCCTGTGGCTGAAATGATGATGATGATGAATTGTTGTTTTAATTGCTTTTGTCTGACTAAGCTTCGTTGATAGGCCCTGTGTGTTTAATGACGTGCTATCTATAATCTATGGCCTGAGCCAGATCGATCGGGTACCAGTATCTAAGCGGAATGTTGCCAGTACGGGCCTGTGGTTCCGTATTTAATAATGAAAACTTGTTCATTGAAAGTACAAAAAAGCACCGTCATTTAGTTCGTTTACGGATCTCATTTCTGATCTCGTAAAGAAACACTGAATATAGAGCTCTCCTCCAACTTTGAGCTTTTTTTTAAACAGTGAGAGGCCACGTTTCAGAACCATTATATTATTATTGTATTCATTGGTAACACACACTGCATGTAGACTTTCGTCGATACTGTGTAGTTTCCCGAACACTTCCCAGTCGAGTTGAATTCGACTTCGTTCGTTCGTTCGTGTCAGCCAAATGACGTCCACTGCTGGACAAATGCCTCCTCCAAGGTTTTCCACAATGCACGGTCCTGCGCTGCCCGCATCCAGGCTCTTCCCGCGACCTTTACGAGATCGTCGGTCCACCTAGTAGGAGGCCTGCCCACGCTACGTCTTCCAGCCCGTGGTCGCCACTCGAGAACTTTTCTGCCCCAACGGCCTGAATTCGACTATTGATCTCTTTCTCGATAGTTGACCTACCTAGGTGAATCTTTTTGAATTGGAAATATTCTGGAATGTTTCCAATAAAAGATTATCTAACCTATAATAATTTAAATTCGGATACATCCGACTTTCGGGTGATCTTGGCACCCCAACGTGTCGCATTCAAACCAGTTATTCTTATTTTGAAGTAATTCTTCCATTAAGGACGTAGCACATTTATCAACCCGGAAAGGGATCGTAACCGTAATAACCCGAGATGGTCACTTGGTCAGTATTCTTTGTATGAAACTGCACAAATACTGCAACGCACACTTATCCGCACCGTAACGTAAACGCCTCGCCTCGCGATTGACAGCGTGCGAAAGGCGATGACAGCTCGCGAAAGGCAATACGGCGTTGATCCGTTGATCCCTTTCCGAGTTGATAAGTCTGCTATGAACTTTATTCGCATTCGACTACGGAACCCTTAAATGCCTACTACACATTCCAGCGTTTGATATTAATACGCTTCAGTCAGTACCACTCACTATCGGCTCAGTATTAAAGCGAGCTAAGTAAACAATGGCATAGAACGTACATGTCGGAAATAATGGAACTAACGGATGTAACGCGATAAACAAGCTTTACTACTATGTGCTACTATGTTGTGGCGACACTAAAAATGTAATTGAATTGCGAGTATCATCATTCATCACCATTTTAATCTATGACAGTCCTCTTTTAGAAGCATGCCTCCCTAAAGGAACGGAAAAAAGTACGAGCTTTTGCTTCTGTCATCCAGTCACTTTGGGGAGGCCCATGTTCAGCAGTGGACGTCCTGTGGCTGAAAGGATATGATGATGATCCAGTCACTGCTAGCAGTCTTCTTGAGATGTTAGTCCATCGTGCGTATCCTGCGCTACGTTTGTGGAACCGTGTTCGTAATTTCTGATAATAACTGGTAACATTTGGCAGGGCCATTGCAAATGTATGTATTAGTGTAAGCAACGCTTGCGCATCCTAGGTCCACTCCACAGTTCACAGACTGTGAGTCCTCACAAGGATATGTAGTGTCGTTTCGTCCGCCTTCTGTAGGCTTTTATTGGAGTGAGTTAATCCTGTGTGCAGTGGGCGAGGCACTGATCGTAGAGCTGATGGACGCTGGGGCAGGAAAGTTCTTGAGTGGCGACCACGAGCTAGAAGACGTAGCGAGCGTGGGCAGGCCTCCCACTAGGTGGATCGACGATCTGGTGAAGGTCACGGGAGGTGGCTGGATGCGAGCGGCGCAGGACCGGTCTTTGTGGAAATCCTTGGGGGAGACCTTTGTCCAGCTGTGGACGTCTTTCGGCTAAAACGAACGAACGAATCCTGGCATCTCTCGCCATGCTTTGAAATTTTTGTTGACCTAAAATGAACTGATGATGATGTGCTTTTTCTTACAGTATCTCCACGAGATCGGCCACAAAGTATGCGTGACGCAGCCTCGCGTAGCAGCCGCCGTGTCGCTGGCGTGCCGCGTAGCCGACGAGCGCGGCGAGCGGCTCGGCGAGCGAGTGGGCTGTGCTGCTGGGATGACGTCCACGCGTGGGCCGGACTGTGGGATTGTGGTGAGTTTTATACAAGACTAGCTCTAGTGTGCTGGAGTTAAGGTACACAATAGTAGACCAAGTGTGGAAGACTTTAGGAACAAAATAGAGAAAGAAAGAAACATTATTATTGCAATGGACATCACAAAAGACAAAAGAGGTAAATAAAAAAAGACAAGACAGAGGTAACACATAAAACATACAATGGAAGAAAAAGTATACTGAGCAGTGCCACCCTGTCGCACAGCGATGCCCATCGCAATGGGACCCCACTCAGCATATGCTGTGGCCCACGGTGAGGAAGGCCACGACGCTGGTTTTCAGAGGGCTGTGGAGCAGGGATGACGTTGATACGCGGTCCGGGCAACGGGATTGTAGTGCGTGCGATGTTGTTCAAGAGTAAGACTAATATAGTTGACTTAGGGAACAAAATAGCTTGGCAGGCGAGTGGGCTGTGCTGCTGACATGGCGCGTGGGCCGGACTTATTTATTTTTTATTTTANGATCGGCCACAAAGTATGCGTGACGCAGCCTCGGGTAGCAGCCGCCGTGTCGCTGGCGTGCCGTGTAGCAGACGAGCGCGGCGAGCGGCTCGGCGAGCGAGTGGGCTGCGCGGCTGGGATGACGTCCACGCGTGGGCCGGACTGTGGGATTGTGGTGAGTTTTATACAAGACTAGCTCTAGTGTGCTGGAGTTAAGGTACACAATAGTAGACCAAGTGTGGATGACTTAAGGAACAAAATAAAGAAAGAAAGAAACATTATTATTGCAATGGACATCACAAAAGACAAAAGAGGTAAATAAAAAAAGACAAGACAGAGGTAACACATAAAACATACAATGGAAGAAAAAGTATACTGAGCAGTGCCCCTGTCGCACAGCGATGCCCATCGCAATGGGACCCCACTCAGCATATGCTGTGGCCCCCGGTGAGGAAGGCCACGACGCTGGTTTTCAGAGGGCTGTGGAGCAGGGATGACGTTGATACGCGGTCCGGGCAACGGGATTGTAGTGCGTGCGATGTTGTTCAAGAGTAAGACTAATATAGTTGACTTAGGGAACAAAATAGCTTGGCAGGCGAGTGGGCTGTGCTGCTGACATGGCGCGTGGGCCGGACTGCAAGATTGTGTCAAAGTCAAAGTCAAAATTTCTTTATTTGTTCAGACTAATAAATAGTTCTTACAAATCGTCATTTTGCTCTTAAGGAGCCTCTACATGTCTCATAATCTTTTTACCCTACCAGCGCTTCGAGACCAACATTTGGCAAGTGCTGAGAAGAAGCGCCGCAACAAACTCAGTCACCACTGTCTGCCGGTTAATATAAATAAATAGAAATAGTAGTAATAGGTACATTCGATTCAGGAGTGTGAGTGGTGTTATGATGATATACAAGACTGCCATAGGTAGGTACTTATCTTCACTGGTTGGGTTTTTATTGGCGGTCAAGCTGTAGATCCTGGCTACACAGGAGTTGCAGCGGTGGGAATAGTCCCCGCCATATTTGGGAGTCAAACCCAGGACGTGCAAAGACAACGGTTATCGGCCCAGTCATTAAAAGACTGACCTACTTGGGAGTGATAATGTATACTGCGAATGTGTTATTTATTTTGCTGTTGGTGTACCTTTATCAATAAGTAAATAAATATTAATAAAACTCAGGACCATTCGCTAATGACTACTCTTTTAATCTTTAAAGACTCGGTTAATGTGGTCAGTGGTGTAATGAATCATGCATGTGTCAGCCAGTTACATTAATGTAAACATAGCTATTTTCTTTTTGGTAAAATACTAAGATCTATTCAAGACAGAAACTAGAACTAGACCGAGTTTAGAGCGTTGTTTTTACGGACCCTCATCACCTAATATCATATAATACAGGGTGAATTGGTAATCAGTGTCTAAATTTTTATTAGGAAGGACTCAGAAATCAGTAACTTAATCGATTTACGTAAAGAAAACAACTATTTTAATCTGCTGCGCGCGGTTCCAAAATTGGCATACGTGGATAATTTAATTCGTTCATAGAAATATTTTTATGGACATATTTTTTTTGCGAAAAATACCACGATTAAAATAAAGTAGTATTCTTAAATTTTTCTATAGAGCTTATTAAAAATATTTGGATACTCATTACAAAATCACCCTGTATATCTATTAGCCAGTTTTATTAAGTTATCGTCGGTCACCTAGTCTAAACAAACTGCTCGCACGCGTTAGGATGTCTAAAATAATACCTTTCTCAAATCACGCCACCGCTGACGCAATGGTGGCGCCATCATCTGATTCATAAAAGAGGTGACTTGTCGATTCTATGTCGACTTGTTTAAAAAAAAACTACCTACTTGCAGAAATTGACTGCATCGGAAGTTTTGCAAGAACTGTCGCTTCAATTTTTCTTTATTACTAGTAGTAGGTAACTATGTAGACCTTTTTCAGGGCATTTAGTGACGTCCCAAATATAACTTGTGTTGTGTAAAAGTGACAGAAGAAATGCAATATTGCAGATGACTGTTTTTACCATTAATCTACAATCGAGATCGAATTTCTAAATATTCAATAATCTATAAATAACAGCTTTTTAATATTTTTAAGAAATAGATCTAGAAAAAGATATATGTATTTTAATTAGGTACCTACACAACACTAAAGATTAGTATCAGAGACGTGCCGGGATGTCTCCGAATCAGACCTTTCTCAAATCACGCCACTGCTGACGCAATGGTGGCGCCATCTTGCGGTAAAACTTGCTTAGGCCGCGATTATGTGTGCTTATGTTTACGAGCGGAGCGGTTAGCGCGAACTTCGAAAAACGTTATTATGTTATCTGAAGTTTCGATTGTTGCCATCCCTCTCACGCAAAGCGAGATGGCAGCATGCGTGACGGTGACAGGCAGGCTGAAGTAAATAGCGTTTTAGAGTAAATCCCCAGAGCGGGTTTTTGTAACTGGTTTTCGCGCGTTTCAGTTCAGGATTATAGCTTTTTTCCTAGGTTGCAATTTGCAATTACTGGACAACGTTCAATTTTCAACGAAATGCCGTCCACTGCTGGACAAAGGCCTCCCTCCAAAGATTTCCATAACGACTGGTCCTGCACTACCCGCATCCAAGTGCTTCCTTAATTTATTCACAGTTTTATTTTGTAACTGGTTTTCGCGAGATTCAGTTCAGGACCTATTTGACATGCAATAAAATAATTTGAATTTCGATTATTCCTTTTTTCCCAGGGTTTGATTAGCAATTTACTGGACATAATGAGGGCTATCGTTTTAGCGCTTACCAGTTAGCGCCACTGTAGAGTAAGGTCCTGTCACTTGCTAGTAGCGAAGACAGTGGCACCAACTGGTGAGCGCTAAAGTGGTACGAGGACTATCGCATTTGCACTCATCAAGATGGCACCACTGTAGAGTAAGGTCCTGTCAATCGCCAGGGGTGCCAACTGTTAAGTATAAAAACAATAGCCCTCATTACATTTGACGTTTCAACCAAATGCCATCCACTGCTGGACAAAGGCCTCTGCCAAAGATGAAAGATTGTGGAACACAACGGCCGGTCCTGGACTGCCCCTCGTTCGTTTCAGCCAAATGACGTCCACAGTTGGACAAATGCCTCCCTCAAGGTTTTCCACAATGAACTGTCCTGCGCTGCCCGCATCCAGGTTCTTCCCGCGACCTTTACCAGATTGTCGGTCCACCTAGTAGGAGGCCTGCCCACGCTACGTCTTCCAGCCCGTGGTTGCCACTCGAAAACTTTTCTGCACTGCCCCTAATTTATTTTAGTTATATTTTTGCCCTACATAACCATTGCTGGTCGACTATTTGGGTAAAATTGTGAGTCCTCAGTAATTATTTACTTGAGTTTCAAAGACACCCAAGTATCAGATTCTTGCTTCTTGCACAACGTGCACTTAGCTCGCCAATTTGTTTGTATACAGGGTGGAAACGTTAAGTGATCTCACTCGATTATTTCTAAACTATACAAGATATCGAAAAACTGGTTACTGATCCTAAAAGTGCTTCACGAGCTCTATCCAACGGTATCAATAATAGGTTATAAAATAAACTGGATCCATTCGAAAATTCAATGTTTCCAGCTTCCATACATTTAGTACAGCCACAGTCATGGCACTCATGTCTTGTTAATATTATAGCAAGTAAAGCCTAAAACCAATATTTTCTAAGAATAATTTTAAATAAGAATGCATAAATTGCACAGAGTTCATTTTAAGTGTTTATTAAAATTATTATTTAATACAAAAAAAAAAACTTCTATTGTCGTTTGGCTGGCACACATTTAGTATAGAGGCTCAAAACATACAATTTTCGGATAGATCCAGTTAATTCTGTAACCTAATATTGGTACCGTTGGATAGAGCTTGTGAAGCACTTTCAGGATTAGTAACCAGTTTTTCGATATCTTGTATAGTTTAGAAATAATCGAATGAGATCACTTATCGTTTCCACCCTGTATTCAATTTGATAGACAAAATATTCCAGTCACGACCAAGTCGCCTTCTGCATTTCAATTTGACTGGTTTTAACGTAATTTTAGTATGTGATGATAGAAAGAGATGACAGTATATTAGGTATGATGTGAGCGAACGAGATACGTGATATATTTATGCTCAATTAGGAATGGAATGGTAAATAATGGTTTAAATGTATTCACAATTATAACTCAGAAAGTTAAGTACCTATTTAACGTTGTGGTTGCACATCAAGATTAACACTGTTAGGCTGACTTATCGTTAAGATGCGAACTGGAATATCGTTCATCGTTATGGAAATCCTTGGAGGAGGCCTTTGTCCAGCAGTGGACGTCATTTGGTTGAAACAAACGAAAATAGCCCGACGGATTAGCAAGCTGAAGTGGCAGTGGGCAGGGCACATAGTACGCAGAACTGACGGCCGATGGGGCAGCAAGGTTCTGGAATGGAGGCCGCGTACCGGAAAATGCAGCGTGGGACGTCCACCCACAAGGTGGATCGACGACCTGATAAAAGGCGCTGGATGCAGGCCGCTACCAACCGTGCGATGTGGAAGTCATTGGGGGAGGCCTATGTTCAGCAGTGGACGTCCTGTGGCTGAAATGATGAAACGAAATTGGAGAGGGTCGTGCTCCTACAATGAAGACTTGAACTCCCTGATGACGTAGACACATTCTCGGCTAATGCAATCATTGATTAGACAATCAAATCATACGAAGCACGATCTAATTGATCACAGCGACATCTATAACCTTTTAATTGACTGTCAGTTGACCAGAGACCAGAGGTTAAGTTATTGTCTAGCCAGTTTAATGTAGATTGATGAGTGGATTTATTCTATACATTTACGGGACTATTCCCACCTCTCGTTCCCACCGCTGGAACTCCTGTGTAGCCAGGATCTACTGCTTGATCGCCAATAAAAACCCAACCAGTGAAGGTCAAGTTTGTCACGGGGTAAAGTTAAACTGTCATTGGACTCGCAACGTCATAGGAGGAGTTATGATTGACGCATTCTCAAATTTTAAATAGTCAGAGTTTTTATTTGCTAATATTTAAAGAACAACAAATAACAATAAAATAAATAAATGATTCTGAGATTTATCTGCATGTTTGACGTGTTCAATATTTCTTTATATCTGTCTGAACGAATCGATATTGATTTCAATTTTTGTGTCAAAAATCCATGGACATCAAGAATGCAGTTTTTCTTTTAAAAGTTTTTTTTTGTTTTCTTTAGTCTGTTCTGTTGTATAACACTGTTTTATTTTCCTTTCAGTTCATGACCGAAGGAGTCCTGCTTCGGGAAATGTTTGCGTCGCCGCTTCTGATGCAGTATTCCTGCATCGTTCTTGACGAGGTAACTATTATCCACACTAATATTATAAAGAGGAAAAATTTCATTATCATCATCATCATAATTTCAGCCACAAGACGTCCACTGCTGAACATAGGCCTCCCCCAATGACTTCCACATCGCACGGTTGGTAGCGGCTTGTATCCAACGCCTTCCTGCTACCTTTATCAGGTCGTCAGATTTGATAATATTCACAAATAACTCAACCTTCACTGGTTGGGTTTTATTGGCGGTTAATATGTAGATCTTGGCTACACAGGAGTTGCAGCGGTTGGAACGAGAGGTGGTCCCATAATACAAACAAATATGTTCATGCACACAAATGTTTACGACCCGTTCTGCGCTGCTCTCATCCAGGCTCTTCCCGCGATCTTCACCAGATCGTCGGTCCACCTAGTGGGAGGCCTTCCCATGCTACGTCTTCCGGCCCGTGATCGCCACTCGAGAACTATTTAGCCCCAATACCCAAAGGCCATCGTCTCTACGAGCTATGTGCCCCGCAAACTGCCACTTGATTTTAGCAATATAATTCGTACTGGTTGTCATAGAAATCCTTGAGGGAGGCCTTTGTCTAAAGCCTGTTCCGTGAGCACGTAGAATCCCGTCCAATGACCCCAAGCTACCTATCCTTATCGCTCGCGCTTAATTATATTGCTGTCGCGACTGTGCGACGCGCGCCCGTAGTGAGTGTGCGAGCGCGACAGCAACATAATTACGTGCGAGCGACAAGGATGGGCAGCTTGGGGTCATTGGACGGGATTCTACGTGCTCACGGACCAGGCTTTAGCAGTGGACGTCATTTGGCTGAAACGAACGTAAACAAATGTTTGTACTCGTATTGTGCGGGAATCGAACCCCTGACCTTAATAGTTACAAAGCACTACACCAAACGGCCGACAGATTGTGTGTAAATCATCATACACAATATAACTTAATGTTATTTTATAATGATAATTGGTTTTGCTATTAATAAGTCCATGAAATGGGTAAATCACAAGGAAATATGTATGTTTATTTATGATTTTCCTGTTTTTATGAAGGAAAATAAAGTGTCGCTGTAATTATTTTGATTTAAATTTAAAGTATAGTTTATAATAATAATAATAAATAATAAATAAATATCCTTGGACATTTTACACTGCGCCTCTAGTCCCAAACTAAGCAAAGCTTGTACTATACTATTATATTTATCATAAATTAATTTCATTACGAGTATGAAAATAAATATGACTTCAATAACTACATCCTACTAATATTATAAATGCGAATGTTTGGATGTCTGGATGTTTGTTACTCTTTCACGCAAAAACTACACTACTACACTACTGGGTTATAAAAAATAACTACAGTATTATTTTTTATAACCCAGAATAACATAGGGTAAACCAGAGAGTGATTGCCCACTGGTAGTGATTGCCCGCTTTAAGAATAATATTGTCAGGTGCTGACTTTGAATCACTCTAGTTAGATTTGAATTTACTAAGTAGATGGCTCCGAGATCAATGTACAGTAGATTTATAATTTACAATAGGAAACACTAAAAAAAAAACAGTTATGGCGGATTTTGTCAAGACGGGTGAAAATGTTACTCAAACAGGTAAAGACTTTAACAATTTTACTAAGGAATTACTTGCTTAGAGGTTAAATCTTTTCTTTTGATAGCCCAACTATCCCTTGTGATAAGGAAAAAAACTAGATTGAAAAGTATCCTCATTTGTAGAAATGGCATGAGAAAAAGTAATCGCAGGTGGCAATTTTCTAAAAATGCACAAAAACTTAAAAATCTTGAAATCGGTGATATTTTTACTGGGGTCAAAAATGGACGTTAGGGAGATCATGGCGAGGCCTATCGATGGTTACAGGGTTATCCATTGTTTTTGGGACACCCTGTATATAGGCTATAATTTATAACGATCTGTGACAAAATACATTTCAAGGGCAAAAGCTAGTAGTACATATTGAGGATATAAAAAGAGATAATGTCTAATTATACCTTGTTCTCTGGCCCTATATTGAATGCTTTTCTCATTTTGGGACTAGATGGCGCTGTTTAATTTTTTTTTACAATATTCTTTCTTATGATATACAACTGTATGATATAGTACTAGTACTTTCAGATTGAGAGATTGCAATTCAAATCACTAAACTAAAAACTTATTTGTATCTAGTCGTCGTTCAAATTGCAATTTGTTCTATGTATGTCAAAAATTACAAGTTTACAGGAGAGTAAAAAAACAGCTTACGGGAAAAAATCTTTTAAGACACTCAAATGTTTTTTAACTAATGTTTCCTAAGCTGTTTGTTCTTTTTAATATAAATATAGAAGTCTCCATAAATAATTTATATTTTGTTAGATATTTTTTTTGAATTTTTGTCATTGAACAAATTGCAATATGAACGACGTAGTGCTATTTTATGTACCTACTTAACGTTCGTTCGTTCGTTTCAGCCAAATGACGTCCACTGCTGGACAAAGGCCTCCCCCAAGGTTTTCCATACTTAACGTATTTTTGTATAATTTCAGGTACACGAGAGGTCGCAAATGACTGACGTGCTTATGGGGCTACTAAAGAAAATAGCTAAAGTGAGTAAAGCCACAGAGTTTCATACTACAAAATAAAAATTTTCTAACGTATTTTTACAATTTAGAACTGGTCTTAATTCCGTTGACGCCATTTTTTAACTTTAAAAGACTGCTGGTCTAAAGGGTAGCAATTGCCCTACCTAGCCTATACAAAAACAAGGCTGGCTAGTTTAACATGAGGTGAAACACATAAAACTCATTTATTTTTGCAAGTAGGCTTTTAAAAAGCACTTTTACACGTCCCAGTATAAACCCCACCACTGCTTCGGGACAATAAATGGGCCAGTGCTGAGAAGAAGCAGCGCAAGAAACCCTTCTCCTTCTTCTTGTCGTGTCGACAACAAACCTACACAGTGTCAGCCCAAAACTCCGCTACAAGAGTGGCGTTGTCAATAGCCTTCATTAAATCTTCCTGCGTGCAGTTGTTTGGGCACGCAGGACACGTCATCATGTGCTTCGTCGACTGGGGAACAAAACTACACTTGCACTTCAAGTTTGAACAAGATTTTCGAAAAATTTTCGAAAATTCACTACCATACCATACAATTTTCTGTCATAATTAAAATAATTTAAGATTTCATGGTTTTCCTTTCATTTGATTTATCAAGTTTGTTAGCAGGTGCGGATCCAGCCCTCAAAAAAGGTTGTGGGCACAGCCACCAAAAAATAGCAAAGTGAGAGTTGGATTGGAGTACGAACTCACTCACGCTCGATTTTTTAAAGGCTCATCAGTTAGCCGTTTTTATCATCAGCCTATCGACCATCTTATCAATAGATCATAATTAAAACAAGCAAATTAGGGTTGTGGGCATGCCCACAGTGCCCACAACGGTGGATCCGCGCCTGTTTGTTAGAGAGATTTCATCCTTATAATTAACCCTAACGAACGATGTAATAAAAACACAATCTTTGAATGCAGTTCTATTTCTTTTCAAAAATAAAGGAATGTTTTCTTTGAGAATTTTTTTCTATCTACAATATTAAGAGTACTTTCCCTCCAGGTGGCATTACAAAATTCCACCCTGTATGCTTTACTTAACCTAAGTATATTATTTATCTTTACAGAAACGCAAGAACCTCAAGCTTGTGGTATCCTCAGCGACTATGGATGCGGAGTTCCTTCGGGATTTCTTCAATGTAAGGGACAAAAAGGACTCAGAACCGGGAAGCTCATCTGTGATTATGTCAATGCAGGGCCGCACTCATCCTATAGAAGTTTATTATTCTGCTGGTAATTTTATTTTTCAAATTATATATTTATTTCATTTTATTTTGAAATCATAAGATACCACGTATTTCTAAGACAAACCCCAGCCAGACAGACGCGAGTTTTGCCGAAACGTCAAGCCGTCAAGTACATATGTATTGTAACTCGGTCTTAAATGTCGCGTTAAGACCCGTGTTTTCCATTTTAGGAAAGTTTCGTGTTTTTGTATTGAATAAACTGGAGAAGTACTGGACGGTTTTAAACAATTATTATAGGTACCGTTAGAATGCTTCATTATCCCTGAGTAACATAGGAGGGATGGTTCTAATAGACAATTTGACAACATTCCCCAATAATTCGAAATCACAACTTTTCTAAAAAAACACTTCGTTCTGGTCTAAAAAACTTAATTAATTTGAAATTACCTGTAAATTACGATTTTTGGTCGCATTGTAATTGAAAAAAGTAGTTTATTTGAGTTGACAAAATAGTGACGTCACTTGCTTGTAGTGCCATACAAAATCTATGGGAGAGTTTCGTTTTGACAGTTTTAAAAAGTACGTCAATTGATTGGTGATGTCAACACGTCTATTATTCTTCCCCTAGCAGACTGATATTCACGAGGATAAGCCTCGGCAAAAGCAGTAAAATAAAGTTATTTTATGTTTATTTTATGTTCAATTTCAGAGCCAGTAGCAGACTACGTAAAAGCGACAGTGGATACGGTCATAAAAATCCACGAGAACGAGCCCTTTGGAGATGTGCTGGCTTTCCTCACGTCTCAGGTATACAGTGTGTTTGGGATAGGGCTAGCAATACTTTAAGGCGATGTTATTATGTCAATTTTATCGACAAAAATGCCCCCAAAAACGTGCCCAAACTAAATTTTTTGATAAAAACTAAAATTATTTTTTTTTTTTTTTGTTTTTGGTAATTATTTTTCATTCTAACGATGTAAATTTTAAAAAATAAATAAAATAAAAACGTTTATTTGAACCGAAAGATACATTATGCATATTACTATGCAGAAGTTACAAAAAGTGGCATGATAATCCCCCCGATTCCCATGACTACTAAACTAGGTTACAACCTGTATCTTAGTAGCCAGTGATTCCTCAACTAAGATTTAAATACAATAACTTGGTCCGATTGGTTAGTCTTTTAAAACAAAACCAAAACTTTTATAACAAGAAAAAGAAGACTTAACTTTAGTTTAAAACAGTGTTACATAACAATTAGAGAGAAATTGACGGTTTAGAACGTGCTTACCCTGACTCTAACCGAGAATTTTGTAAGAGGCGGCATTTTGTCTATCGCTTTTTCAAAATATCAAGGGGGGCGTGCAAAATTATATCTTACACTAGCTGACCCGGCGAACTTTGTTCCGCCTTAATGGCAATAAATAACGGGATAAAAAGTATCCTATGTCCTTCTCCTGGCTCTAAACTACCTCCCTGACAATTTTCAGCTAAATCGGTTCAGCCGTTCTTGAGTTATAAGTGGTGTAACTAACACGACTTTCTTTTATATATATAGATATAGATCTTCAACTGCTTTCAGGAGGAAATCCTCGAAGCTCTAGACACACTTCGTACCTATGCAGAAGATAACAACCAAAAGAACAAACACAGAAGACATTTCCCGAGCGGCGTTCAAGCGGCTAACTTAAACATAGTGCCAATGTATGGCAGTCTACCTCATTATAAACAGATACAAGCGTTCCAGATTGGGGACAAGAATGTCAGGAAGGTCGTCTTGGCTACAAATATTGCGGAGACTAGCGTCACTATACCTGGGATTGTCTATGGTGAGTAATTTAAACAGATATTGAGAGTAATTTACTGTTCCATATTTGGGACAGTAACTTCTGCTTCGCTAAATGCAGGTGCATTCATGTGTCGGCTAGCATTATTAAAGAAACTAGTGTCACTATACCTCAAGTTGTCTATGATATGGTAATAGAAGACACTTACAAGCGGCGTTCAAGCAGCCAATCTAAACGTAGTGCCGATGTATGGCAGTCTACCTCATTACAAGCAGATACAAGCGTTCCAGATTGGGGACAAGAATGTCAGGAAGGTCGTCTTGGCTACAAATATTGCGGAGACGAGTGTCACTATACCTGGGATAGTCTATGGTAAGTAATTTTGACAAATTGTGAGTAATTTACTGTTCCATATTTGGGACAGTAACTTCTGCTTCGCTAAATGCAGATACAAGCGTTCCAGATTGGGGACAAGAATGTCAGGAAGGTGGTTCTAGCGACTAATATTGCGGAGACGAGTGTCACTATACCTGGGATTGTCTATGGTGAGTAATTTAGACTGTTCCATATCTGGGACAGTGACTCCTATCTCACTATAAGCAGATACTATAAAACCAGATCGGGGTCAGAAACGTTAGGAAGGTCGTCTTAGTTACTAAAATAGCAGAGCAGTGCCACTATACCTGGGATTGTCTATGGTAAGTAGTTTAGACTGTTCCATATTTGGGACACTATAAGCAGATTCAAGCGTTCCGGATTGGGGACAAGAATGTCAGGGTCAGGAAGGTCGTCCTGGCTACAAATATTCAAAAGACTAGCGTTAAATATACCTGGGATTGTCTATGGCGAGTAACTATAATAACTCCGAATTAAGAGAAATCTTATGGTCTGTAAATTCTATCTAAAAAAATGATTTTGCAACATAATAACTAAAAATAATATCACCCTTATCTGACTAGCATTATGTTAATGTAATTTAAGTAGCAGTGCTGATGACCGTTAAGTTCTCGAGTGGTGAACTCGTGATACGTAGTGTTATAGCAGGCCTCCCACATGATAGACCGACGATATGTTAAGGTCGCTGGAAGCATCTGGATGCGGGCAACACAGGAAATCCTCGGGGGAGGCCATTCCATAGTAATAATAAATAAATAAATAAATAAATAAATCTTTGGACAATTTCACACAGCGCCAGCTAGCCCCAAAGTAAGCAACTTAATGCTTGTGTTATGGGTGCTAGCTTAACGGATATACTACTTATATACTTTTTTTTTTAAATACATAAATATTATACATAGTCACACCCAGACCCGTCACAGAAATTAAAATTCATCATTTCAATTTCTGCCCGGCCGGGAATCGAACCCGGGACCTCTTGGCATAGTAGTCCGTTCTGAACCACTACACCAAACGGCCGACAAAATAGTGATGATGATGAAAGTTGTCCTTGATGTCACAGTGTATATCTTAACATGCTGTCTGTATTTTCAGTGATCGACTGCGGGTTCCACAAGCTGCCTCACTTCTCTCCGGACGTAGGTGTTGCCAGCATAAGCGTGGCTCCAATATCCAAGAACAACGCGACACAGCGCGCGGGACGCGCGGGCAGGACTGCACGAGGGAAATGTTACAGGTGAGTTGTAGATAGAGGGCAAGATAAGAGAGAGAGAGAGACAAAGAGAGAGGTGGTAGGGAGAGAGAGAGAGAGATAGATAGAGGGGGCGAGAGGCCGGGAACAACTCCAAAATGGACAGGACTGCAAGAGGGAAGTGCTACAGGCTAGTTGCTAGAGAGGGAGAGAGACCGGGAACAACGCCACGCAACGGGCAGTACTATAAACGAGAAGTGCTACAGGTAAGTTGTAGATAGAGGGCTTTGATTTTGATTTTGATTTTTGATTTTTAGACAAGACGAGAGAGAGGGACAAAAATAGAAGGGGGTGGGGGAGACAAGAAACAGCGTCACTCAGGAAGAGGGAAGTGCTACAGGTGAGTTGTAGATAGAGAGCAAGATAAGAGAGAGAAAGACAAAGAGAGAGGTGGTAGGGAGAGACAGAGAGAGAGATAAGAAACGACGCCACGCAGGAAGCAAGACTTTAAGCGAAGAAGAAGAAGTGCTGCAGGTGATGAGTTGTTAGAGAGAGAGATAGATAAATAGAGAGAGGAGAGGAGGGAGAGAGCAGCAACAACATCAAGCAATGGGCAGGACTATAAGCGGGGAGTGCTACAGGTAATTTATTAGAGAAAGAGAGAGAGAGAGACATGAAACAACGTCATGCCAGGGTTATGACCAGTCGCGGCAAGTTACAGGTGCGTGTCTAGATAGAGAAGGAGAGAAAAAGAGGAGGATAGAATGCTAGAGGCTAGATACCTCGATTAGCGACCGAGATAAGAGACCGAGTCAAGTGACCGAGACAAGGGACTGACACTAAAGACCGCGACTAGAGACCGACACAAGACACAGCTACTCTCAGTGACAGACTGCGGGTTCCACAAGTTGCCTCACTTCTCTCCAAGCGTGGGCGTGGCGACTGTGAGCGTGGCTCCAATAGCCAAGAACAACGCCACGCAGCGCGCGGGACGCGCGGGCAGGACTGCACGAGGGAAGTGTTGCAGGTGAGTCGCTAGAGATAGATAGATAGGAACAAAGAGAGAGAGAGATAGATAGAGAGGGAGGGAGAGACAGAAAGGGAGAAGAGAGAGGGGGCGAGAGGCCGGGAACAACGGGCCGTACTATAAACGAGAAGTGCTACAGGTAAGTTGTAGATAGAGGGCAAGACAAGAGNCCCTATATAGGCTATAATTTATAACGATCTGTGACAAAATAAATTTCAAGGGCAAAAGCTAGTAGTACATATTGAGGATATAAAAAGAGATAATGTCTAATTATACCTTGTTATCTGGCCCCATATTACAAGCTTTTCTTATTTTGGGTCTAGGTGGCTGTTTATTTCTTTTTTTACAACATTCTTATGATATACAACTGTATGATATAGTACTAGTACTTTCTGATTGAGAGATTGCAATTCAAACCACTAAACTAAAAACTTATTTGTATCTAGTGCTATTTTATGTACTTAACATATTTTTGTATAATTTCAGGTTCACGAGAGGTCGCAAATGACTGACGTGCTTATGGGGCTACTAAAGAAAATAGCTAAAGTGAGTAAAGCCACAGAGTTTCATATTACAAAATAGCATTTTAGCGTATTTTTACAATTTAGAACTGGTCTTAATTCCGTTGACGCCATTTTTTTAACTTTAAAAGACTGCTGGTCTAAAGGGTAGCAATTGCCCTACCTAGCCTATACAAAAACAAGGCTGGCTAGTTTAACATGAGGGGAAACACATAAAACTCATTTATTTTTGCAAGTAGGCTTTTAAAAAGCACTTTTACACGTCCCAGTATAAACCCCACCACTGCTTCGGGACAATAAATGGGCCAGTGCTGAGAAGAAGCAGCGCAAGAAACTCAGTCACTATTTTAATGGGGTTCCCTTCTTCTTCTTGTCGTTTAGACTACAAACCTACACAGCGTCAAGAGTGGCGTTGTCAGTAGCCTTAATTAAATCTTCCTGCGTGCAGTTGTTTGGGCACGCAGGGCACGACATTATGTATTTCGTCGACTGGGGAACAAAACCACACTTGCACTTCAAGTTTGAACCATCCAAGAATCCCCATCTGAACAGATTGTCCTTACTATGGCTGATGGGATTCCCTAATTATCTCCGTATCGCGGAGCTCAGAGGTTAGAGCAGGTGCCATGAACCGAAAGACCGTGGGTTCAACCCCGACCAGAGGCAATAGATTTTTCAATACATTTACATCGTTCGTTTCAGCCGAATCCGTCCACTGCTGGACAAAGGCCTCCCCCAAGGTTTTCTACAAAGATCGGTCCTGCGCCCGCATCCAGGCACCTCCCGCGACTTTCACCAGTTCGTCGGTCCACCTAGTGGCTGCCCACACTACCGTCTTCCGGCTCGAGAACTTTTCTGCCCCAGCGGCCATCAGCTCTACGAGCTATGTGCCCCGCCCACTGCCACTTGATTTTAGCGATTCTGCGAGCTATGTCGGTCACTTTGGTTCTCCTGCGGATCTCCTCATTTCTGATTCGATCACGCATGGAAACTCCGAGCATAGCACGCTCCATCGCACTTTTATACAGGGTGGAATTTTGTAATGCCACCTGGAAGGAAAGTACTCTTAATACTGTGAATAGAACATTTTACTTAAAGTAAACATTCCTTTATTTTTGAAAAGAAAGAACTGCATTCAAAGATTTTCGAAAATTTTTCGAAATTCACTACCATACCATACAATTTTCTGTCATAATTAAAATAATTTAAGATTTCATGGTTTTCCTTTCATTTGATTTATCAAGTTTGTTAGAGAGATTTCATCCTTATAATTAACCCTAACGAACGATGTAATAAAAACACAATCTTTGAATGCAGTTCTATTTCTTTTCAAAAATGAAGGAATGTTTTCTTTGAGATTTTTTTTCTATCTACAATATTAAGAGTACTTTCCCTCCAGTTGGCATTACAAAATTCCACCCTGTATGCTTTACTTAAACTAAGTATATTATTTATCTTCACAGAAACGCAAGAACCTCAAGCTTGTGGTATCCTCAGCGACTATGGATGCGGAGTTCCTTCGGGACTTCTTCAATGTAAGGGACAAAAAGGACTCAGAACGGGGAAGCTCATCTGTGATCATGTCAATGCAGGGCCGCACTCATCCTATAGACGTTTATTATTCGGCTGGTAATTTTATTTTTCAAATTATTCTAAACTAGCGGCCGCCCGCGACTTCGTACGCGTGGATCCCGTTTTACCCCCTTAGGGGTGGAGTTTCGTAAAATCCGTTCTTAGTGAGCACCTACGTTCTAAAAGGAGCCCCCATGCAAAGTTTGAGACTCCAAGCACTTGTAGTTTCTGAGATTTCGTGGTGAGTGAGTCAGTCAATCAGTGACCTTTTGCTTTTATAGATATAGATAAATAGTTCTTGAAGCGGCTCCTATAAACACTAGATCTCAATTTTAGTAATATAGTCTGGTCTGTGAGCACGTAGAATTTTGTCCAATGACCCCAAGCTACCCATCCTAAGTGAGTGTGCGAGCGCGACAGGAACATAATTACGCGCGAGCGATAAGGATGGGTAGCAGACCGGGCTTTAGAAAAGTTTGTAACAAATAAACTGGAGAAGTCCTGGACGGTTTTCAACAATTCTTTTACCGTTAAAATGCTACATTATCCCTGAGTAACATAGGTCAAATTCAAGGAAAAGTCCGTGTCGGAAAATATGTAAATAATGTTATTCTATGTTCAATTTCAGAGCCAGTAGCGGACTACGTGAAAGCGACTGTAGATACGGTCATAAAAATCCACGAGAATGAGCCCTTTGGAGATGTACTGGCTTTCCTCACGTCTCAGGTATACAGTGTGTTTGGGACAGGGCTAGCGATAATTTAAGGCGATATTATTATGTCAATTTTATCGACAAAAATGCCCCCAAAAACGTGCCCAAACTAGATTTTTTGATAAAAACTAAAATGATTTATTTTTTTTTGTTTTTGGTCATTATTTTTCATTTTAACGATGTAATTTTTTTTTTAAAATAAAACAAACGTTTATTTGAACCAAAAGTTACATTATGCATATTACAATGCAGAAGTTACAAAGAGTGGCAAGATAATCGGGGGTCCCATGACTACTACACTAGGTTACAACCTGTATCTTAGTAGCCAGTGATTCCTCAACTAAGATTTAAATACAATGACTTGGTCCGATTGGTTAGTCTTTTAAAACAAAACCAAAACTTTTAAAACAAGAAAAAGAAGACTTAAAAGTTTAAAACAGTGTTACATAACAATTAGAGAGAAATTAACGGTTTAGAACGTGCTTACCCTGATTCTAACCGAGAATTTCGTAAGAGGCGGCATTTTGTCTATCGCTTTTTCAAAATATCAAGCGGGGGTGTACAAAATTATATCTTACATCTTCAAGTGCTTTCAGGAGGAAATCCTCGAAGCTCTAGACACACTTCGTACCTATGCAGAAGAAAACAACCAAAAGAACAAACACAGAAGACATTTCCCCAGCGGCGTTCAAGCAGCCAATCTAAACGTGGTGCCAATGTATGGCAGTCTACCTCATTACAAGCAGATACAAGCGTTCCAGATTGGGGACAAGAATGTCAGGAAGGTCGTCTTGGCTACAAATATTGCGGAGACGAGTGTCACTATACCTGGGATTGTCTATGGTGAGTAATTTAGACTGTTCTATATTTGAGACAGTGACTCCTGCCTCACTATAAGCAGATACTATAGAACCAGATCGGGGTCAGAAACGTTAGGAAGGTCGTCTTAGCTACTAATATAGCAGAGACCAGTGCCACTATACCTGGGATTGTCTATGGTAAGTAGTTTAGACTGTTCCATTTTTGGGACACTATAAGCAGATTCAAGCGTTCCAGATTGGGGACAAGAATGTCAGGGTCAGGAAGGTCGTCCTGGTTACAAATATTCAAAAGACTAGCGTTAAATATACCTGGGATTGTCTATGGCGAGTAACTATAATAACTCCTAATTAAGAGAAGTCTTATGGTCTGTAAAATCTATCTAAAAAAATTGATTTTGCAACAATAACTAAAAAATGTCACCCTTATCTGACTAGCATTATGTTAATGTAATTTAAGTAGCAAAGCTGATGACCGTTAAGTTCTCGAGTGGTGAACTCGTGATACGTAGTGTTATAGCAGGCCTCCCACATGATAGACCGACGATATGTTAAGGTCGCTGGAAGCATCTGGATGCGGGCAACACAGGAAATCCTCGGGGGAGGCCATTCCATAGTAATAATAAATAAATAAATCTTTGGACAATTTCACACAGCGCCAGCTAGCCCCAAAGTAAGCAACTTAATGNTGCAGTCCGGCCCACGCGCCATGTCAGCAGCACAGCCCACTCGCCTGCCAAGCTATTTTGTTCCCTAAGTCAACTATATTAGTCTTACTCTTGAACAACATCGCACGCACTACAATCCCGTTGCCCGGACCGCGTATCAACGTCATCCCTGCTCCACAGCCCTCTGAAAACCAGCGTCGTGGCCTTCCTCACCGGGGGCCACAGCATATGCTGAGTGGGGTCCCATTGCGATGGGCATCGCTGTGCGACAGGGGCACTGCTCAGTATACTTTTTCTTCCATTGTATGTTTTATGTGTTACCTCTGTCTTGTCTTTTTTTATTTACCTCTTTTGTCTTTTGTGATGTCCATTGCAATAATAATGTTTCTTTCTTTCTTTATTTTGTTCCTTAAGTCATCCACACTTGGTCTACTATTGTGTACCTTAACTCCAGCACACTAGAGCTAGTCTTGTATAAAACTCACCACAATCCCACAGTCCGGCCCACGCGTGGACGTCATCCCAGCCGCGCAGCCCACTCGCTCGCCGAGCCGCTCGCCGCGCTCGTCTGCTACACGGCACGCCAGCGACACGGCGGCTGCTACCCGAGGCTGCGTCACGCATACTTTGTGGCCGATCTCGTGGAGATACTGGAAGAAAAAGTACATCATCATCAGATCGTTTCAGGTCAAAAAAACCTTCGAAGTATGGAGAGATATGCCAGGATTAACTCCAGTAAAAGAGGAAAACGCAGCGTGGGATGTCCACCCGCAAGGTGTACCGACTACCTGATAAAGGTAGCAGGTAGGCGCTGGTTGCAGGCCGCTACCAATCGTGCGATGAGGAAGTCATTGGCCAAGGCAAGCCTATATTCAGCAGTGGACGTCCTGTGGCTGAATGATGATGATGAATAAAAGCCCACAGAAGTTGAAACGCCACTACAAATCCTTATGAGGACGCACAGTCTAAACAGTGGACCTATGATGCGCAAGCGCAGCGTACACTAATACATTTGCAATGGCCCTGCCAAATGCCATCAGTTATTATATGAAATGAGAGAACGAGAACGTAGCGTAGGATACGCATGATGGACTGACGAACTCCAGAATTTAACACCTAAACCATTGTATCTATTATTTGCAAATAAATACTTCGACTTTGAGAAGATTGCTGGCAGTTACTGGATGAAAAGAGCGGAAGCTCGTGCTTTTAGGGTGATCCTTCGATGGGATTGCTCCTAACAAATGGAACTATTCCCACCTGTCGCTCCCACCACAGCAACTCGTAGCCAGGATATATAGCTTGACCGCCAATAAAACCCAGTGTAGGTCAAGTTTGTCCCGGGGGAAAGTTAAACAATCACTGGACCCGTACCGAAATTAATTAGATGAACATAGGGGGAGATCGAAGTTAAGGTTGCTCCTAACAGTGGGCTCAATAGACTAAAATGGTGATGAACAATGATACTCGTAATTCAATTACAAACTAAACCTTTTTAGTGTCACCACAACATAGTAGCACATAGTAGTAAAGCTTGTTTATCGCGCTACATCCGTTTGTTCCATTATTTCCGACATGTACAGACGAGGGCACGTCAACGTAACCACTGTGGGTTGTTGTGCAGTTGTAATAAGAGCGAATTTGCGACAAAAATGGGTAGCCTGATGTGCTGTCGTGTGTACATTACTGTACCATTGTTTACTTAGCTCGGTTTAATACTGAGCCGATAGTGAGTGGTACTGAAACGTATTAATATCAAACGCTGGAATGTGTAGTAAGCATTTAAAGGTTCCGTAGTCGAATGCGAATAAAGTTCATAGCAGACTTATCAACTCGGAAAGGGATCATCACCGTATCGCCTTTCGCTAGCTGTCATCGTCTTTCGCGAGCTGTCATAGCCTATCGCGCGCTGTCACCGCGAGGCGAGGCGTTTACGTTACGGTGCGGATAAGTGTGCATTGCATTATGGAGTTTCATACAAAGAATACTGACCAACTCGGGTTGATACGGTTACGATCCCTTTCCGGGTTGATAAATGTGCTACGTCCTTAATAGCACATTAAGTATTAACTTCAAAAGATGAATAACTGGTTTGAATGCGACACGTTGGGGTGCCAAGATCACCCGAAAGTCGGATGTATCCGAATTTAAATTATTATAGGTTAGATAATCTTTTATTGGAAACATTCCAGAACATTTCCAATTCAAAACGATTCACCTAGGTAGGTCAGCTATCGAGAAAGAGATCAATAGTCGAATTCAGGCCGTTGGGGCAGAAAAGTTCTCGAGTGGCGACCACGGGCTGGAAGACGTATCGTGGGCAGGCCTCCTACTAGGTGGACCGACGATCTCGTAAAGGTCGCGGGAAGAGCTTGGATGCAGGCAGCGCAGGACCGTGCATTGTGGAAAACCTTGGAGGAGGCCTTTGTCCAGCAGTGGACGTCATTTGGCTGAAACGAACGAACGAACGAAATCGAATTCAACTCGACTGGGAAGTGTTCGGCAAACTACACAGTATCGACGTAAGTCTACATGCAGTGTGTGTTACCAATGATGACAATAATAATATAATGGTTCTGAAACGTGGCCTCTCACTGTTTAAAAAAAAGCTCAAAGTTGGAGGAGAGCTCTATATTCAGTGTTTCTTTACGACATCGGAAATGAGATCCGTAAACGAACTAAATGACGGTGCTTTTTTGTACTTTCAATCTC